GTGCACTCGTTCATGACAACGCACTGCATGCAGCTAACCACACGCCAACACGGCCGCCTTGGCCAAGAAGAACTGCACTGACGAGGAGTGGGACCCCTGTGTCCACCGACCCTGCAGACGATTACTGGCCACAGGCCTCAGTCCTGAGAAAGGGATTGCTGTCTTTGAATGGCAAGACTAAGAAGTTTTTTGACCAGGTTAAGTAGGGTCTCCATGCTGGGCTTCATGCCGAGACCCTGCTTCCTGGTGTGAGCTCAGTGAGCTCTGAGGTCAGGGCTGTAAGGTCAGGGGTGTAAGGTCAGGGCTGTAAGGTCAGGGGTGTAAGGTCAGGCCTTTGAGGTCAGGGCTCTAAGGCCAGGATTTTAAGGTCAGGGCTCTAAGGTCGGGGATGTAAGGTCAGGGCTCTAAGGCCAGGGATATAAGGTCAGGGCTCTGAGGTCAGGGCTGTTAAGGTCAGGGCTCTGAGGTCAGGGCTCTAAGGCCAGGACTCTAAGGTCAGGGCTCTAAGGTTGGGGCTGTAAGGTCAGGGCTGTAAGGTCAGGGCTCTAAGGTTGGGGCTCTAAGGTCAGGGCTCTTAGGTCAGGGCTGTAAGGTTGGGGCTCTAAGGTCAGGACTCTAAGGCCAGGGCTCTAAGGTTGGGGCTCTAAGGTCAGGGCTGTAAGGCCAGGACTCTAAGGTCAGGGCTCTAAGGTTAGGGCTGTAAGGTCAGGGCTCTAAGGCCAGGGCTGTAAGGTCAGGGCTGTAAGGCCAGGGCTCTAAGGCCAGGGCGTGTCACCATGCTGGCTATGAGCAGCCCTGCCCTTGTGTTCACTGAGGACACTGTTCCAGCAATTTCTCTGCGTTGCCGTAAGGGGCTCTGCCGCCTGCGAGGACAGTGGCGGCCAGAGCGTAGGCCAGGCTCGGCAGGAGGCCCAGTCCTGCAGCAAGGCCTTCGGGGCAGGCTGGCAGAGCAGGGCTGGTGGTCATCAGGGGCGTAGGGCTGAGAAGGTCAGGTCAGGGACCTCCACCAGGACTGGCATGGGCCGAGCCACCATGCCCTTCCAACTGAAGAGACTGAGAGGACGTGCGGTTGGGGCCTGGGCTGCTGGAAGTGGGCAGGTCTGGGAGAACCCAGGCTCCGGCACAGGGGCCGCTCTGAAGGCCGAGGTGCTTCCTCACAGGCCTTTACTGTGGCCACAGGAGCTAAGGTCAAAGTTCACCCAGGATGGGGCGGGTGGGGAGCGAGGGATCTGCGGCCACGCTGCCCACAACGTGGACACCCAATCCACTGGCTCCGTCTGTCGTCATTAGGTCTGCGGATGTCTTCAGCCTTACTATCGAGGTGTCCTCCTGGACCTGACGGCCTGTGCACTGTCACTGTCTCATGACGGCCACACTGGCCCCCTCCTAAGTAAGGGAGGCTGAGAGGCCAGAGAAGCACCCGGGTGTTGTCCAGCACAGCCCCTGGGCTCAGAGGCAGGGCAGCTCTGGGTGTTCCGCACGTCCAGGGGCTCTGCCAGAGTAGAGCAGGAGACCCCACCCCCAAGTCTGCAATTCTGCCCCACCCTCAGCCAGGTGTGCCACACCTCAGCCCTAGTATGCAGTGCCTCAGCCAGGTGCCCAGGTGTGCCACGTCCTAACTCACATGTGCCACTCCTTATCCAGGTGTGCCACACCCTCAACCAGGTGTGAAATGCCCTTAGCCCAGATGTGTTAGGCCCTCAGCCCAGGTGTGCCACACCCTCAGCCTAGGTGTGCCACACCCCAGCCAAGTGTGCCACACCCTCATCCAGGTGTGCAATACCCTCAGCCAGGTGTGCCAGGCCCTCAGCCCAGGTGTGCCACAAACCAGCCAGGTGTGCCAGGCCCTTAGCCCAGGTGTGCCACACCACAGTCAGATGTGCCACACCCCAGCTGAGTGTGCAACGCCCTTAGCCAGGTGTGCCAGGCCCTCAGCCAGGTGTGCCACACCTCAGTCAGGTGTGCCAGGCCCTCAGCCAGGTGTGCCAAACCTCAGCCACCAGCCACGTGTGCCAGGCCTGTGCAGCAGGCTGCTGAGGGGCCAAATAAAGTGCCAGAGACAGCGTGGGGGTGGGGCTTGCTGGGCAGGGCTGGCAGAGACCAGGACTGCTGCAAGGAGGGGTCAGTGGAGACGGGCTGGTGGCCAGCTCCCTGTCCCTCACAGTGCTCTGCCAAGCAGTGCCTCCTCTGCATGGTGGCCGGCTGAGCAGATGCCATGGTCCTCTGCGCAGGGCCCCAGCCCAGTGCACTGCTCCCTGAGAGAGGGTTTACATGTTGGGCTGCAGGAGCAGCGACGACGTCATTGTGTGCTCGTCTGACCAGGAGCAACTGCCCTGGCCACCATGCAGGGGGGTAGCTTTGCCAGTAGCAGGACTGGCCCGGGCTCCCAGAGAGCAGTGTCCCTCGAGACGTTGTGCACTAGGCCTGCTCTCCTTGCTCCCCTCGCTCAGTGAGGTCTTTGGGAACAGAAGGAGGTGTTTGGGGACATGGGGCTCGCTGTCCCTGCTTTCTTTAGGGGTGATACCCTTTCTTATCGTATCTTCCCTGGGGCCCTCATGGGCCCTGCAGCCTGTGGCTGCTCCAGTGTGCCCCAGGTAGGAGCTCCTGGGGGGACCCTGCAAGCCGGGGATGCGTAGTTGGAGTAGTGGGGAATGGACTGAAACCTGGAAATAGACGTCTGTGTGCAGAAGAGCAGCAGGAGAGGTGTGGAGCACAGGCACACAGCGGCACGTCCTCCCGCCCGGCAAGGGTGCCCTGCTTCTCCTGAGCATGCCTTTGAGGGAGGGTCTTCACACCCTTGTGACCCGGAGAGTCCCAGCTGAGTCAGGTCTGATGGGCTCCAGCTGAGGCTTCTCGCGGAGGCTCCCTGGAGCAGTTTACCTCCCAGGTGGTCATGTGCAGTGCATCTGTCTCAAAATGCCTAGAAGGTGCTTAGGGAGAGATGTGCTGCCCTGCACGGGGCCTCTGAATTCCAAGCCATGGCCCAAAGGTGGACACACTGGCCAGGTTCTGGTTTGCAGGGAGACTTGCTAGGAAACACTTCATGCACCTGGTAAAGGCTGCAGAGATTTAGGGTCTTAAAGTCCAAGTTCCAGAAGAAACCTCCCCCCTGTTCAGCTCTCCTCCATGGCTAAGCCCACATAGAACGTTAGGAAGGAAGGCAGAACCGTATGGAAGCCCTCCGGTGCTCCCTGGGGGAAGTGGGGTGCTCAGGACACATCTTCTCACTCCTCTGTGGCCACAGGAGTTCAGGTTGTGAGCTGCTTACTAGAGTGATCTGGAGATTGGGTCAGAGCTAGGAATGGCTCTGAACTTGGTTCAGGAGGCCCTTAGACCCTGGCCCTCCCAATCCCAGAGCCCAGCTTCCCGCTGCCTGGTTTATCCTGAGCCAGGTTCCCAGGACCCTTCTTGGTCCTCCAGGACCCTGCAGTGGCTCAGCTGGACTCCTCTGGTCCTCCATAATCTGTGGTCTGCAGAGGGCACCATGACATCTGCAGGGACCACATCAGACTGTGTCCACATCTTCCAAGGCCCCTGCTTTCCTCAGATGAGTCCAAACTCCTGTCTGTGACTCATAGGGCCCTGGACATCTTGAGAGGTCCCTCGTGTCTACAGGTCACTGCCTGTGTTCTCTGTCCCTGTGGTCTAGACTCCTTGCTTCCTGACAGCAGCTGGAGAAGCCCAGTGTGCCTCAGAACCAGCGCCTGGGTGCCTGTGGCTCCTGCTGTCCATGCAGTGTCCAGGCTACTCACAGGGCCTCTCCCTGCATCTGGTCTCACCACATGAGGAGACTGCTCACTGCCCAGGGCCACCCCTCCCTGCCAGGGTGGGGTCTGGAGCAGCGGGGTCCTGGGCCGTTGTTGGCAGGGGCAGCCTGGCTCTGTGTGTGAGGAGAACCCAACGTGTGCTGGCTGCTCGACGCAGCACCCGTCCCCTCCCCAGGGAGACCGTCTCCCGTGTCCCTTTAGTCACCCCCCATGGAGTCCAGCCTGGCCTCACTCCCTCTACATCTCTGCTTCTGTCTCTCCAATGTGGATGTGATCATTGGCCTTCCAGCTTGTCGAGGGGCACGGACACCATTCCCCTGCCCTCTGCCTGGCATTGCCCTCTTCAGTCTCTTCTCCTGGGCTGTCTAGCAGCGAGCCTTGCTGGGTCTTCTCTCTGTAGGGAGGGTGTGCCCAGTGAGGGCTGCTCGGGCTGTCCAGCGTGGTTAGGCGGAGGGGCTCCATGATGGTGCCTCCCAGTCGCAGGCTTTGGTAACAGGACGTCGGGAGGAACTCGCTGGAGGGAAAGACCCCAAAGTGGGTGGCAGTCTCTTGGTCCTGAACTCAGGGTGGGGAGAAGGTCTCTGACATGGCAGGACAGAGAGAGGTGTAGGGAATTCCACAGGGGTGAGCAACAGACGGGTCCTTACATGGCACTTGTGTGTAAAATACATTGTGAACAGTGATCTGTAGATGAATGGAACTGCTGGATTACTCCTGGACCCTGGGAACCTATGTGAGGTCAGCTCTGGGGTTTGCTAGTGCTAACTCCTGTCCCACTGGTGTCCATGTGCAGGTCTGCTCCCGGCAGAAGCTGCAGAGCTTCTCCTGCCCCCTGCGGCTGGCCACAGAGCTGAGGCTGCAGAGTGGACAGTGCCAAGAAGCCTCCTGGGTTAGAGCTCCAGTACCTGGAGAGCTTGGTGTGCGTCCTGACCGTGTCGAGCCTGGCTGGCCTTGTGTAAGACGGGACAGCAAGCTGAGGACTGCTGCGGCCATCAGTGAAATACTGTATGGCTCTTAGCCTCATGTAATTCAGTAAATGTCAAGAATTGCAATCAATAATATCTGATTCAAAATCAAAAGCTGCATATTTCAAAGTGCCTATAAGTGTTAAATTAGCTCATTAACATTAAAGTAGCCCAACATTAGACTTTCTAAGCACTGAGCCATTTCTTTCCATTGTCGAGAAAAACCTGTTAGCTTTTGTGAGTTTTGTAATGTGCCTTTATTTTTCAGGTTGTCCTGGTGCCAAAAAGCAGGAATTTTTGACAAGCGTCTTGGATGCACTGTCCACAGACATGGTCCATGCTGTCTCTGACCCCTCCTCCCCATCGGGCAGGTATGCTGTGCTTCCCGCAGAAGCCCTGGAAGTTCAAGGAAGAGCAGATCCTAAGGGTGGGACACCGGGAAGTACTCGGGCCTGAAGGAAGAGCCCTCCAAGGCCAGGAGGCTGCTCGTCAGGTTTCTCTGTGCACCACAGGGGAAGAGACTGGCCCTGCATTTCCAAGGGTCCCTGTGGTGAGGAGGGCCAGGGATAGGGGAGCACTTCTGAATGCCCTCTGTCATGAGACCCCATTTTACAGTTATATATTAGGCTTTAAATCCTTGGAATGAAATGTTTCACTTAAAACTCTCAAAATGTGGTTTACTTATTGTAGAACATGCAGCTCATGAAACTCGCCACCTTCCCAGTTTCCAAGTGTGGTTGAGGGGCAGCAGGTACGGTCACTCCTCTCTGACCCCAAAGGGTCCCCTTGGTATGCTGCACACTTGCCTGGAGCTGAGCCTCATTGCCTCCCTGTTCCCTGTGGGAACAAGTGCCTTTCTGTACCCCACGGATGACACAGGAGGATGGAAACTCCCCGTGGGCCGTTGCCACGGCAACCCAAGCATTCTGTATTCTTCCTGACAACTAGCAATACATATTTGTGCATTTTAAGGAAATTTTTCCAGTGGAGAGTCTAACATTTTATTTCCATGGAGTGTCGGTCTTCTCCCCACTGTCCCCAAGCCCTCAATTTTCTCATCCATCCAGGGTGATGTAAGCTTTTGGTCTCTCAGCAAAAGGACCTTCATTTTCTCTCTGCTACAGACAACTCAGGGGGAAGGCAGTGCTAATGGAAAAGGTCATGACTGGGTAGAAAATTGAATTGAATTAAGCAAAACGTCACCAAGATTGCAGCTTTACACCTCTTGCTCTTGTAGGAAGGGTTCTCTCGTGGGAGCTGCAGCTGAAGGCCATGGGTGACTTGCTCTCCGAGAAGCTCCTCTGACAGTTGGGAAACTGGTCAACAGTGTCAGCCAGCCAGATTGCCCACTGTTCACACTCAGGGGCAAAGCTCAGCACACCCAGGCAGGGTGGCACGCAGAGCCTGTGGGAGGGCCCGTGGGGTATGCACAACCTCCTCCCTTGTGAGCAGGTGCAGCCTACAGGTCTGACTCGAAGCCAGGCTTCCAAGGCAGCTTTGACCTATTTGTTCCTTAAAATAGCAAACTGCTTTTTAATCCAAGGGAAATTGTCTAGTTGTGCTGAGAGCCACAGCTGAGTCGAAATGGCCCCTGGCATTTTGCCAATAGTATTGGTTGACAGGCAAGGCATTACTATCTGCCTCGGCCACTACTTTGGAGTTCTTGTGGGGATTCCTGGGGATTCCCGGAGAGTTCCCATTGGTTGGGGAAGTGCAGGAGGAGGGATTTCTGGAGGAGATATTTCCATTGGCTGGTTCCTGGACAAGCCGCGTGGGTTTCGGGAGAGTTCCCGGGGAGCCTGTGTGGAGTGTGCTGGTGGAGTTCAGAAATAAAGTTTGTTCCTGCTTCGGTGGCTCATGATTTGTGCCCAGCCAGACTGCGGCATAGTTGTAGCCTTAAAAAGCTTTGATTTGGATCTTTCAATACACCTGTTATATGCATGTGTGTTGCTTTATATGATTCAAAAATGATCACATTGAGGGGCCCAGAGGACCTAGGAGGGTGCTGGTGGCTGTTCCTACCCGCCCGTCAAGGTGCCCAGGCCCAGGACTGGAGCTTTTCTCCCCAAGTACAAGGCCAGGTGCATGCCTGACGTGCACACGATCACTGTGGCCTCTGTGACTCCAAGCCAACTTGGAGAATTTGCTGGTTAGCTTTTCCTCAGTCTTGTCCATCGGTCTCTGATGTGAGTACCCACAGAGGGGGACACTGGAGGGCTGGGTGGAGACAGTAGGAGCTTCTGCATCCTGACAGGTTGTCTTCCTTCCAGACTCTCAGAACCAGACCCCAGCCACACCCTGGAGGAGCGGGTGGTGCACTGGTACTTCAAGCTGCTCGATAAAAACTCCAGCGGGGACATTGGCAAGAAGGAAATCAAACCCTTCAAGAGATTCCTTCGGAAAAAATCCAAGCCCAAAAAGTGTGTGAAGAAGTTTGTGGAGTACTGTGATGTGAATAACAACAAGGCCATCTCTGTGCAGGAGCTGACGGGCTGCCTGGGCGCCACCAAGGAGGAGGGCAAAGCCAGCACGCGGAAGCGCCACAGTGAGCCTTGCCCATGTCCCCACGCCTGGTGTCAGAGTGTGATGTCCCGTTCATTTCCTGTGTGTGCTGCCAGTGTGAAGCCTGGAGGGTGATGTTATGTGTTGGAGCATGATGTCTATGTGTGTTCACTTCCTGTGTGTCAGAGCATGATGTCTGTGTCCATTTCCTGTCTGCATTTCCTGTGTGTGTGTTCACTTCCTATGTGTCAGAGCATGTCTGCGTTCACTTCCTGTCTGAACTTCCTGTGTTCACTTCCTAGTGTCTACACTCCCTGTGTGTCAGAGTGTAATGTCTGTGTTCACTTCCTGTCTGCACTCCCTGTGTGTTGGATCTTGATGTCTGTGTTTACTTCCTAGTGTCTGCACTCCCTGTGTGTCTGAGTGTGATGTCTGTGTTCACTTCCTAGTGTCTGCACTCCCTGTGTGTCAGAGTGTAATGTCTGTGTTCACTTCCTGTCTGTACTTCCTGTGTGTTGGATCTTGATGTCTGTGTTCACTTCCTAGTGTCTGCACTCCCTGTGTGTCCAAGTGTGATGTCTGTGTTCACTTCCTAGTGTCTGCACTCCCTGTGTGTCCCAGTGTGATGTCTGTGTGCTCACTTCCTGTCTGAACTCCCTGTGTGTCCGAGTGTGATGTCTGTGTTTACTTCCTAGTGTCTGCACTCCCTGTGTGTCCAAGTGTGATGTCTGTGTTCACTTCCTAGTGTCTGCACTCCCTGTGTGTCCCAGTGTGATGTCTGTGTGCTCACTTCCTGTCTGCACTCCCTGTGTGTCCGAGTGTGATGTCTGTGTTTACTTCCTAGTGTCTGCACTCCCTGTGTGTCCAAGTGTGATGTCTGTGTTCACTTCCTAGTGTCTGCACTCCCTGTGTGTCCAAGTGTGATGTCTGTGTTCACTTCCTAGTGTCTGCACTCCCTGTGTGTCAGAGCATGATGTCTGTGTCCATTTCCTGTCTGCATTTCCTGTGTGTGTGTTCACTTCCTATGTGCACTTCCTGTGTGTCAGAGCATGATGTCTGTGTTCACTTCCTGTCTGAACTTCCTGTGTTCACTTCCTAGTGTCTACACTCCCTGTGTGTCAGAGTGTAATGTCTGTGTTCACTTCCTGTCTGCACTCCCTGTGTGTTGGATCTTGATGTCTGTGTTCACTTCCTAGTGTCTGCACTCCCTGTGTGTCTGAGTGTGATGTCTGTGTTCACTTCCTGTCTGCACTCCCTGTGTGTCAGAGTGTAATGTCTGTGTTCACTTCCTGTCTGCACTCCCTGTGTGTCCGAGTGTGATGTCTGTGTTCACTTCCTAGTGTCTGCACTCCCTGTGTGTCCGAGTGTGATGTCTGTGTTCACTTCCTGGTGTATGCACTCCCTGTGTGTCCCAGTGTGATGTCTGTGTGCTCACTTCCTAAGGTTTATAGACTGCCTCAGGTGAGGGTGTTGAGAAACAGCACATGGTGATTGCAGACCATTGCTGTAGAAATAATAGCGAACTTGGGCAGCAGGCCAGCGGTCAGAACCCCAGAGCCACAGGGTTAGAAGGCTTTTACTGTTCAAATCAGTGGCCAACTCTCCAAATACGTTTTGCCTTTCAAAATTCAAAGTAGGACTCAGGTGCCATTGGACATAGCTCACCAATCTTGTGAACGGGCTCCAACCAAATGTCCAGGCCAGTGTATGAGCAGAAGACCAGTGTCCAGACCTGCTCTTCCTGTGGCTTAGCAGATTTAGCAGTGGAAGCACCTTCTGCGGTGGGCCTGGCATAAGTAGCGTGCTGTCACAGGCAGCCAGGGAGTCCCAGGAGAGTCGGGTCTCATGTCCTCAGAGGCCACACACAGGGAGAAGCCAGGTCTGAGCCCAAGGGCCCCGGCCACACATGTGTGCTGTTGGGGAAAGCCCCTCACTGGGGCAGGCCTGGGTCCTCGTCTGGGCAGGGCCAGTGCTGGGCAGGGTGGGCAGCCGAGCCACATCATGGAGTCTGGTCAGCCTCGGGTCACCCTTGGGAAGGCAGCTGTGCTTGGCTGTTCCCCAGCACGCGTGAGTGGCATCCTCTGTCTCTGTGCCCTCTGGTGTGTAGCAGCACTCTGAGGTGGTTCCTCTGAGCTGAGCTGGGGGTGGGCCCCTGGAAGGCAGTGGGGACACCAGCCTGGAGTTGTCCCCGGTGCTTGCCTTGACTGTCTCAGCGTTTCATGACCAGCTTTGCTTCCACTGGCCTCTCTGTGAGACCGTCTGCTGATTCCTCTGCGAGGATTGGGCATCTCTGCAGCTCCTAGTGCTGCCCGATGTCCTGACCAGGTCTCAGCTAGGACAGGCCAGGTGGCAACCTCAGCTGTCCTCTGCTCTGGCAAGGGGACGGTACTCTGGAGAGGCCCACCCCGCCATGCCTGAGGGGTCAAGGAACAAATCTCATAATTACTTGAGACCTCTGTGTCCATCAAGGACCCTGGCCAGGGTGGCAGGAGCTGGCCTTGAAGCAGACTCTTGGGAGGACAGGAAGCCAGCAGGTGTGCGCTACAGAGAGGGACAAGGCATGTCCCTGCTGTGCCTGGAGCAGCAGCGGCTCCGACTGAAGCTGTCCACTCAAGGCTGTGTGTCCTCCTGGCCGTGTTATCCTGGCCATGTCCTGGGTGGTGAGGTCACAGGGCAGGGGTCCGTCACCACCGCTTCACCGTGGGCAAGGACGCTCATCACATGAGGACCGGGCACTGTGTCTTGTCTTCTGCAGCTGCTGCCTCAGGACCAGGGCAGGGCAGGGGCGCTTGTCTGCAGTCCCGCCTGCTGTTGGTCCCCTGTCCTCAGCAGTGTGCCTGCCCCCTGCAGACACCCAGGTGGCGTCCTGGGCACCTGTGCCTGGCTTTGCTATAGGAGCTGCACCCCACCACCTGCTTGTCCTGCGGAGGCCCAGCTGGGGCTCTGGGCTCTTCTGTCCTGCTCCACCTGACTCGACCTGTGACCCGGGACCTGGCTCACTCTCTTTACGCTGGTTGCTGCTTGGGACACTGGAGGCCTAGTGCCACTTTAGGAATAAAGCCCAAGCAGGGCCAGCCTCCAGAGCCCCGAGGACCCACGGAGGATGGAGCGCCTGGCCCCTGCTCTGTAGTGGGTCGCAACCTGCGGAGTCCTTCCCTCGGTGGAAGCAGTGCAGAGGCTGTGCGCTGGAGGAGCAGGACACATGCTGCAGTAAACGGGCCTTCAAGGACCAGAGCTGCTGCCGGGACGGGTTCAGGAGCTGGGGTCCCTGGGGAGTCTCCAGGTGGCTTCTGCAAGGATGCCTCGTCCCCTCAGGACACCCCCCACTGCCCACTCTCCCATTTCTTCTTATCTTTTTTAGTTCCAAGGGTTGAACCCAGGGGCGTTTAACCTCTGAGCCATGCTTCCAGACTTTTTTTATTTTTTATTTTGAGACAGGGTCCTGCTAAGTTGCTGAGGCTGACTCTGAACTTGCAGTCCTCCTGCCTCAGCCTCCCGAGCCTCTGGGAGTACAGGCTTGGCCACTGCGCCCAGCTGTCTGGTTTCTTACAGGAAAGCCAGCAGCTCTCTGTCCTATGCCCTGTAAGGCCCCCTCAGCTGTGACCCCTGTCCCCCCAAAACTGCTCGCTGGGGAGTCTGTCTCAGCCTCAGCACTTGGTACAGTCAGAGCACCCATTCCATGCTAACTGCATGATGGGCCTCCAGGGCCAGCGGGCTGTTGTACTCCCAGGCTGGTGACGGTGCATGGGGGACACTTCTGCCCAGCAGGCCATCAGCCCAGGAAGGGTCAAGTGTCCACTGCGGTCAGGGTCAGTCTTGCCATGACACTGGAGCCTGCACGTCTGCTCTGGAGTCACTCACCAAAGACATTGGCCTCTGGGGTGGGTTACAGGAGGCAGGTGCAGGGTCTGAGGTCTCACCGTGTGAAGGAAAAGAGTAGAGCATCAAAATGCCAAGTGACCAATGCCCAGCGGTCTGCCAAATGCCAGGTGTGGAGAGGAGAGCACGCACCCAGCCAGGGGCTCTGGGCCCCATGGAGGTCCAAACCCAAGTTTGGCAGCCCAGGGCACTGAGAGGGAGCAGACCCACAGCAGCAGATACAAAAAATCAAAGAGCATCATCCACCCCTGGCCGAGGGCGTCTGCCCACTGACTGCCTTCCGATGGACAAGCTGAGTTCCTAGGGCAGTGTTGGGAAGCTTGTGTGGACAGTTTGGTGGCCGATGTGACTGTCCCACTCTGGCCTGCTGAGGCCGAGGAGGAGCTTGGTTTTGGAAAGTGCTCGGAGTTGGCAGCACCGATGGAGGGCAGCCTGGTGTGTAAGCTGGCCGCCCTCGTGGGTCAGGCTGTAGGACAGTGACCACAGATTGTCCCTGGCTCAGGGTCATGCGCCTCCTTCGGGTTTAAAGTGGTGCAGTCGTCCTGTTCCCGGGGGCGGGGGTCCACTCCGCAGGTCCTGGCAGATGCTGTCTCATGGCACTGCTGCCCGGCCTGGGCGTGGACTGGGCGTGGACTGGGCCTCTGCCTGCCCTGTGGAGCTGGGAGAGTGTCAGCCCGTCTCAGTGAGAGCCGAGCGCCTGGGCGCAGACAGCAAACCTGCTGGTGCCTGTGTGCTGCTCGCTCTCCAGGACGGGCTTTTGCTACTAGAGTGGTGAGAAATCAAGGAAGAGACGTTCCATACACAGGTCTAGAGGTACACGCCCCCCGAGGGTTCTCTTAACACAGGCACTTTCTAAATTAACCCCATTGATTTGAAGCAATTACAGCTGATTTTGCATTCAAATTAGTGCCTCTAAGATACATTGGCAAGCTTGATATAAACGATTATATTATAAAAAATACAAAAAGGAAATGATTGTCTGAAAGTTATCATTATAAAGCAAAAAAAAAAGATGGATTCATGAAGGATTCAGAAAACAAAGTCAGAAGGTATTCAACTTGATTTCACAGTTCTCAGTCTAGCCTTTGCACAGAAGCTCAGCGATCAGGAGACGCTCATCTCTGACCCAATCATCTTTTTCCACCAAGTGGCCAAGCTGTCTGAGCTGAGCAGCAGGGCCAGGGTGCCCAGGCTGCTCCCCACCACGCAGGGCCAGAGGCGTAGGCCCCAGCTGTCCTGTGTCCCCTCCCTCCCTGTAGTCCGCCTGGACCCCATGTTTATCAGTGGCAGTGCTGGGTATTTGTGTTGATAATTCGCATTCTGTCCTTTGAGATCCTTAAGAACATGTTCTCCTCTCTCCCTGTTTCGCATGGTGCCTTTCCCTTCCCCATCTTAAGTGGAAAGTTGTGCCAGAGGTCATGGATGAAGTCCATACTCTTCATCAGCAGAGCAAGCTTTTTTCTTATACTTATTAACTTTTTCTTCCTGTCACTTACCTTTAATCCATAGCAACCTTGAATTATGAGGGGGATTGACATTAGCCATAAAGAAAAGCCAAACAAAAACAGACTGTTGCTGAATAGCCACACTGGCCCCAAAGAGAGTCAAAGAATCACTGTAGTACTCTTTGGATTTGAATCATTGGGAAAAAAAATCTTATTATTTTTCTTTCTAATCTATCTGTCCATCTATCTATTTATCAATCAACCAATCTCTTTTTGTGGTCCTGGGACTAGAATCCAGGGACTCTTTTTCACTGAATTACACCTCCAGCCCTCTTGGATTTTCTATTTTGAGACCAAGTCTTGCTAAGTTGCTGCGGCTAGCCTTTGGACCTCCGGTCTCAGCCTCCCCAGTCACTGGGTTACGGGTGTGGCCACTGCACCATGCATTTTTTTTCCTATTTCAGGCAAAGTAAAGCAGAAGAGGAGCAGTGGTTTCCTAGTACTTGGGTCATTTTCAAAACCTGTATTTGAGACAAAGAAAACTCCTAATTATTCAATGTTTTTGCAGTTTGCTAAATACATTTGCATTTACCCTTCCACAATGTGTTTCTGTTTGCCCCGACATGGCAAGGAAGATAGGGCAGGAAAACAGAGTCATCCTTTTCCACTATTTTTTTATCGAGTCGATGTGAATCAACAATCAATCGAGGAATTTGGCAGGACAAACATTGCCTTTTGTCTGTTGACTAACTGAAGGCTCTTTACTAAGTGCCCCTGTCCAGGACGTTGCCAAAATAGGTCAGAAAATAAGCAGCCCCGCCCCTTCCAGGGCCTACCCCTGGAGCAGAGGAGACCCGTGGGGGCGGCAGGCACCCAGCCTGCGCTTTGTGTCGGAGACGCTGGCCAGCGTTCGGGCGAGAGGCCATCAGCCTTCTGGCGAGAGGCCATCCGTGGTTTGGTGGGAAGGACGTGTCCTGACTCCTGTAAGGGATCCCCGGTTGCCCCCTGGTGCAGGCCCCGGGTGGGGAGGGCTGCACAGGGCGAAGCAGAGGGGTGCCCAAGCGTGGACCCGAGGCTCGGGGTAGGGCCAAGCTGCGCCTGGCCGACAGGACAGCAGGGGGAGTGGCAGGGGTCAGCATGAGGACGCTCTGGCGATGAGCCAGAGGAGCTCGAGAGCAGCACCAGCCTGTCCCGGAAGGAAGGGGACGACCGTCTGGGGGACGGTGGAGTCTAGTCCTGTTCCCTAGGGTCTCCCACTGCACACCTAAGTGGGGAGCTGGGGGAGAATCTGACCAGGGAGAGAGGGCTGAGGAGCTGCCGCCTGCCCCCAGGGCACCCTCAGGAGTGGTCTGATTTGAAGCCAAGAGGCTGACCTAGCCCACCAGTGAGTGGGTGTAGATACGAAGGAGATGAGGCCCAAGCCCACCAGAGAGCCATCTTCAGTGTCAGGAAGGAGGAAGGAGGAAGGGCAAAGAAAATGGAGAGGGGGGCTGCCCTCCAGGTAGGAGGAAGCCAGGGGAGTGGGGGGGCCGCCCGGAACTGGGAGAAGGAGAGGGTGGCCGTCAGGTGGGCCGGGAGGAGCACTGAGCAAAGATGGGGTCAGGAAGGGGGAGGCAGGAGGACTGCATATGAGAAGCTACCGAGACACACAAGTTGAGGCTCGGAGTGAGAAGGAAGGAGAGGCCCAGGTGTTCCCCCGGGTGTGGCCGTGAAGCCAGGAAGGACACAGTGCTTCTCCCTGCAGCTCTGATTTTACCCAGATATTTGGGGGAAATAATTTTGAGACACACATGGTGATTTTTAATGATTTTAAATGAAACCAAAGATTTCCAGACCTTGTACAGTACATGGCTCAGGGCTTCCTTCGCAGAACCTCGTCTCCTCTGGGAACGTGGGGAAGGTCCTAGAAGAAAGTTCTCTGGGGTCAGTGGACTTGGCCCAGGAATTCAGATTAAATGAAACACTCTTTAGTTGGACCTGAGCACTGTGATGTCAGTGTGCAGAGAGCCTCGCAGCCCGGCTCCTGGCCTGCCTGAGGCGTCCCCGTGTCCTTCCACTCGGAGCCTGCTGGCCAGCAGCACCTCACTAGAGCAGATGACCTCCCTGAGGCCACCGTGAGCGTCCTTTTGTAATGATGTCTCTTTCCCTCCCAGCCCCCAGAGGCAGCACCGAGGGCTCCCCTCCAAGGCAGGTGAGTGTGTCTCTGTTGGAGCTTAATGGCCCGCTGGCTCACAGTATGCTGAGATCCGAGGACACCTCTCGGAGCAGCAGAGGAAGGACCTGACCCTGTGGGCCCACGCCCTGCCCACCAAGTGCCACCCGAAACCACCAACTTGCTGAATCATTCAGTCACAGATTTTGCCCTCCTTTTATCATTTGAAATTTCAATCATTTAAGGACAATTTCTGAGTCGGCTTGTTCTGTGGAGTGGCTGTTTTCCAGCTGTCCTCTAGGTGCTTGAAGTTTATTTCTTGCATTTTCAGGAGAGGGCAGGAGGAGGAGAGCCCACGGCCACGAGCGCTGAGCTCCCAGAGGGCTTTCGGCTTCTGCCTGGTGTTTGCAGACGTGTTCTCTGTTTCTGAATCTCATCTTATAGAGGTTAAGGGATGCCACGTGGTGCCTCTCTCCAGCACCACGTGCCGCAGCCAGGACTGAGCGTTTTCTAGCAGACCTTTGTCCCTCCCTGGAAGTCGGTCCCTTCCCATTTGATATCTGTAGGACACCCTCAGGCAAGCCCCTGGGTTGTAAGTGGGGACCTCCACACGCACCTTGGTTGTAATTTCAAACTGTTTCATTAGGAAAGACTTGTAAGATTCGTTTCACGAATGTTTATGGTCTAACTCTCAAATCCCCCTGCAAATCAGCTACCTGAAAAGCGGCTGCTGGGAAAGCAGGTGTGCAGTGGAGCTCTGGGGCTCCCGAGGACTGCCTTCCGTAGACAATGAAAACCAGCCTGGGTCTTCAGCCTTGTCCCAGAGAAAGGAGCTGGAGCAGTGTCCCCGGCTTGGCTCGTCCTGAAGGTGCAGCCTGGCTGTGTCTTCACTAGGGTGGCTGCCGCTGCAGATGCCACCCTGGGAGTAAGGGCTGGGACTTGCCTGTGACACTGTAATTGAAGACCATTGGCATTTCTTTGAGAAATGGAGTGGTGCCGACGACCAAAGCCTGTGGGTGCGTCACCATAGGCAGGACTGTCAAGGCAGGCGTGACAGGCAGATTCAGGAACTGATAGGGCACACAGCCACCTCCTTAGTGTGTCCGAGCTGTGCTCAAGCTGAGGCCTAGCCGGGACGCAAGTCTGTCGGCAGTAGCTGGGAAGCGAGCCCAGGCTCTTGTCATGGTGACTGGCTGAACAAACCCGCCCTTGGCTTGGTGTGCAGTCGAGTTCTCTCTTCTCGCCACCTCCTTAGATCTTTATCAAGGGGACCGAGGGCAACCCGGAAGGTGCCTAAATTTTCAGAGTTTAATAATCCTAAGTAACACAGCAGAAGCCAGGGTGAACTTCGCCTGAAGGGACTGGTCCCCGTGGAGAGGGAGTCCCGGTGGGTGGCTCCTGCTTCCTGCCTCCTCAGTTACTTCAACAGGAAGTTAGGTGCTGACCGAGCAAGAGATCTGCACTGAAATGCTTTTCCAAGTGCATTTCTTGAAAAGGTGAAAAGGAAAATTTAAAAACCAACTGTGGCTTTATCAAATTTGAAGCATAGATTAGCTTATAAAAGCCACGTGGGTGTGATGAATCTAAGGGAACAGGAGAATCTGCAGAACACCAAGGTATGGCCCACTTAGAATATCTGAGTCAGTGCTGCTGTCCTCACTGGGTGTTTCTCCTGGGACCCTGGCCTTCTCAGGGGCCAGTGTGAGTGCCGTCCAGGACGCTCTCGTTCGACAGGCCAGCGCTCTTCCCTTCCCGGCCTTCCCTCCTGGGGCCCGTCCATCTCCTTCCCAGGAGGCAGGTCTTGGTCCTGGCACATGCACACCCTTCACACTCCCCTCTTCTCTTTTTCAGCCGAGGAAGCAAGGATGAGCAGCTGGCCCTTCCATGGCGGTTTCTAGACATGTGGGAGTCTCCCTCACCAAAGAGCGATTTAAAAACAAGCCCATAGTATTTGCACTTTGTACTTTACATGTAAATCCACTTGGTAGACACGAGATATTTAAACGGACTGTTTGGATCTGGAATGTGGAAGGCTGGCTTCAGACGAGTCCTCACATACAATGTATGTGTCCTTCGTCCACCGTGGAAACCCGCACCTGGCGGACAGGAGTTTGGAAAGCACGGAGCTTCTCGGCTCTGCCCGGGGTAGCTGCTGGCAGCCTCCTCCAGGCCCTCTGCAGCCCTGCCTCGGGCTGCCCGCGCTCTTACAGTCCACAGGCGCCAGCCTTGTCCCCTCAGCTGGGGCTTCATAGAAGTGTCACTGAAATGGAGTTCGTAGGTCTTGCCCTTACTGTGCTCGGACTGGCTGTTTCTTGGGATTCTGTGCCGGTCTGTTCATTTCGCTTTCCCGAGGTCTCTCGCACCCGATGAGCCAGGTCACCAGGAAGGACCGGGTCCCCAGGAAGGAGGGCAGAAATGGCTGGGGTGGGGGAGAGCTTTCAAACTTCTTCACCTCCACTTCCAAGCTTCTCTTTGGGTTTTGCCTTGGGCTCAGATAAGTCCAGGCAGGCGGCCTAGAGGGGCCCTTCCTTCAGAAAGGGGACCCAGGCTGTGACTAGGCCACTCCTGCCAGCCTGCTTCTCTGTGCCCCCAGGGTCCCCTGGAAGACAACGCTGTCCCTGAACAAATGGCCCCCAGGAGGCATGACGGCAGAGGTGTGGGCAGGGTGTGGACTGGGCCTCAGGAAGGGCTGCGAGTCCTGCTCCGCACACTGCTGAAACCTCAGGGCAGGGGCCTTGCCAGAGTCCATCTGAGGGTGTGGCACAAGAGGGTCAGCAACTGCGTGCCCACTGTGAGCAGCAGAGTTGGCTCTCATGGCCACTGCCACCCTGGACCTGGCCCTAAGCGAGAGGTGTGAGGCCAGCCAGCTCAGACTTCTGTAGGAGGGCCCTCGTGGCCTGGTCCCCCGCAGGGTCCTGTGCAGTCATGACCCTGAGAGTGTGTGGAGAGGCGTCACGAGGACTGTGCTTACTGTGCAAGGGCAAAGAACAAGCCGGGAGCCCCAGGCCAGCTCAACGCGCGTCAACATCGTCTAGGAAACAGCTGTGAGCCTAGTTGTTTTGGATACTCGTTTATATTGCTGAACTTTGAAATTAATCATTTTTCCTAGATTAAAATCAGACATGTGATCAAACTGCATTGAGTCTTTTCTTTCCAACCAACACGACTTGATACTTCTCAATGGGAAAGGTGTGTGCTGACGTGGAGGCAAAGCCAGGCTCTGGGCCGGGAGGCACAGGGCTGAGACGCAGGCCTTGCTTCTGGCCTGGCCTCCCGCGGTGTCCCCCTGCAGCTCAGGGACGCTGCCATGCACCCCGTGGGGGCGGCTGTGTGGGCAGGGTGGATGCACAGGGCTGGCACCCAGGTGTGCTGGGCTTGTCAGCTCCTGGGGAGCCCAGGCTCAGGAGAGGGCTGCAGCCCTCCCGGTACCCTCCTGTGCCAGAGGCTACGGGACCACAGAAAGGTTCCCTCGTCCTGATGAAAGAGTCACACTGCTCGAAACCCGGAGGGGACACTCACTTCCAGCTCCCACCTCTCCCAGTTCTCCTCCGGGTGCCTGCCGGGGCTACTCAAGGCTCTGGCCTGCTCCAGCAGCCTCGCTCCCTCCTTGCACCTGGAGTGCCGCCCGGGTCAGAGAGGACTGGTCTCTTGACTCAGCCTGAGCTTGGAGTAGGAGGAAGCAGGGCAGACGAGCTGGACGTGCTCTCCGCAGGCAGGGGAGAATGGGAGGCCTGCGCAGGCAGAGGCAGGTCACTCTCTGATGTGCAGCCTGGCCCCCGGCCAGGGCAGGGACCAGGCTGCAGGGTCGGTGCTGGCAGCTGGGCTCTGGCCTTGGGGACAGTCCTCCACGTCTCGGCATTTGGCTTGTCTCGCACCAAGGTCCCCACAGCAGCACCTTTCTCCCCAGTCCCCAGCCAGTCCTGCCTAGAGCCTGCCTTTCTGCCCACCTGTCTTCCCTGGGCTGCCTGCATTGTGTCAGTAGAGCACAGCTGAAATGCTCTCTTCTCCCAGGGCTGGCGAGGACACCGCTGAGTTGCGGTGTGAGCAGAACCTGTGGCTAACATGCACAGAAAGGACGTGCTTCCAGACACACGCGTGGCCTATCTAGACCTGCCCTCCTGAGGGGACGTGGCACCCTAGGCAGCATTCATTACCCCATTACAGGAGGTCCCGATGGCCCCGTTCAAGTCTCTGACTAGGGAAGAGTCGACACCTTGCAGTCATGTCAAGGAAGCCCCTGCCCCTGATTAAAGGACGCATTTCCCTCTCCACCAGTCCGCTTCCATCATCTCAGTTAATAAAAGCTCTTAAGTTTTTTGTTCTCCGCCATCTGATGGTGGCCAGGAGAGCCTCTTGGTGCTTTGGCCATTTCTCAGGTCTTGGGAGTTTCGTGCCTGGAGGACATGCCCAAGAGCTGAGCTCTGTGTGAACGCTGAGCAGCTCGGGACTGTGCAGAGCCTGCGTCTTTGCAGACAGAGTAAGACACGGAGGCTGTGTTCCCCATGTGGGTGGAATGCGGCTTAACTATTAATAGGGAAACCGTTCATGTAAATAAGACCTGGAAAGGAAGGCCTCCCACAGCCCCAGCCGCCCTTCCAGGTGCGGAAAAGCCCCAGAGATCAATGCCCTGGCGTGGAGCCCAGAGCACTCCTACCTGATCATAAGTCAGATGCACGTCCACTAATGACAGTGCTTTTCTTTGGGAACCTTCTCGTCTGGTCAGACCTTCACACTTGGGGAGGTCTGGGCTTGTCACCCAGTGGACCCTCTGCAATGTCCTCATCTCTGTCACAGCCCCCTCTGTGAGCTTTGTCAGGCAAAGCCCAACGTAGAGAGCCCACACAGCCCTTCCCATAGAGCCTGCATCAAAACACTTGCAAACTCACATCCCTCAGTGTTGTTTTGAGTTAACCTGCCGTTGAAGGGCAAGGGTGACCGTTGGGTGTCCCTGGTATTCCGATTCAGTCTTCTCTCTCCTCCACCCCTGGTTCCCACCTGGTCACCCTGCTTGCCAGCTTCTCGTGGGTGGCTCACCCACACATCTCTGCAGCCAGATGCTCCTCCTCCTCCTGTCTCCACAGCGGTGAGGCTGTTCCTCGGCCTTTTCCAGGCTGCATCCCATCCCCCTCACTCCTGGGGATCTCACTGTCTCTTTCCGCTCTGAGCTTGGGTGCCCCTGCCCCAACGGCTCCTGACCCTGGAGCCCTGCCCCATAAGGTACTCCTGAGCAGCAAGGTCAGCCGCTGGGCCTGGGCCTGGAGTAGGACCTGGGCAGTGCACAGACCTGCCTTCCTGAGGGGACATGGCACCCCAGGTAGCAGCAGCCTGGTTTCTGAGCCCTTCCAGCAGCACTCTCCAGAGCTGGTCATTTTCGTGGGTGTATTGGAAGGCCAACATATCCGCCTCTCTGGGTCTTGGGGAACTCCACGTTCTCGGGCTTCTGCTGTGTGGAGTGGGGAAGTTCACAAGGAGCTGACCAGCGCCTGACTTTCCCATGCCATCCCTGTGCTCAGCCCGCCTGAGCTGAGCCTCCCTCTGTCCACCATGGAGCAACGGGGCCTTCAAAGCCACTGCCTCCAGTGACGGTCTCCTGGGACTCTCCAGAGCAGGATGCATTCGGCTAATTTATTCGCTTTTCCTTTTCTGGAATCCTCCACTCGGGTGTCCGAAGACACCCTTCATCCTTTGCTCATAAGAGCCGGCTCCAACAGCAAGGCAGGAGTGACAGGAGCGCTCGACAAACGCTTCTCGGGGTACAGCTGCTGGTCAGGGTGGTTGGAGAGCTGGTGGGTGAACGTGAAGCACGCAGCACAGCACCCAGTGCACGCACCTAGTGTGCCGCAGTGGGATTGTTCTCAGCAAACTCCACAGATCATTTCAGCCTTTTATCAGGAATGGGATCACACCTCCAATGGACCCACGTCCTGGTGGAAAATGAGCCACTGGCCAAAGGAGGAGTTGAGCTATATGGGTTACGCTGAGAGCATGTCACTTGGATACTCAGGATTCTGGGTTTGGGGCTGGGTCAGTGGCCAGCACCTGGAGAGGAGTCACACTATCGTCCTGGGTTTGACAAGATACCTTCCCCCAGCAGTGGCCAGCGTTTGGGAAGGACTCACCGTGGAAGAGAGGAGAGCTGTCACAGGAGCCGTTCTTCTCACTCCCTTCCCCCCACTATCTTAGGGTTTCCATTCTCCGTATCTGACAATTGTAACTGAAATGGCAATGCTCCTCACTAGCACACAACTGCTTGTCCCCACTCATTCCTCCTGTCCTGGGACCAACACCTTTCTCTCTTAGAAAGAAGTCTGTAGCTCACCACCTCCTCCTGCCCTCTGCAGGCATGTGAAGCAGCCGGACGTACAAACCCCCTTCTATGGCTTCATTGCTCCGGCGACCCCTCTGTCTGGTTCTTCTGATTATTCCTCTACTGTCCTAGATGATACCGGCACATACGAAATAAACAGCCAGCCCGTACCCTGTGCTCCGAGAATAATTGGCCCAGGACCGATAGATACCCTCCCTTGAACGTGGCTTCCGTTTCCATTCTGTTCAAGAGCAAAGCAGATGCACTAATGTCCCCCTGATTCCCAGATGAGATGTTTGTTCTGTGGGGCTGAAGCTCCCGAGAGGAGCTTCAGGACAGAGGACAGAGGGGCAGGACCTCAGGTTCCAGAGCTGAGGTCCTGGGAAGGCTATGGTCGTCCACTTAACTGCAGACACCTGGTCTCTGCACCAGTTGTAGGGAAAACTATAAAGCAGACACAGATGCAAACGCTTCCTGCAAGAATTGTGAGCTGGTGCTTGACATGTGAGTGCCTCCAGATGCCATGCTGATTGTTTGAACCCAGCTACGCATTCTTGATGTTTACAGTTCCTTTAAAATCAACATTTCAATTTAAATAGTGAAATAAGATACTCGTATGTCATAGTGTTTGACTTTTTTTTCATACTCAAAACCACAGCAGTGCTGGTCTCCTGGTCCCTATTGGGATCTCCCAATCCTAGTAGCACATCACGGCTAGAGCCTCGAGACCCCCCCAGAGCTGGCTGCAGCTTACCAGGCACCCAAACAGAATTCACAGAGGCCGGTGCAGGAAAGGCCGACCCACTGTGACCATGCTGTCCCTAGATGGAGTCACCTCCAGCACAGTCGTCTTCTACATGTGACAGATGTCTGTCCTCATCGATTTCAGTGTTCAGGTGCCCACATGGTCCTCCAGGGGCCCTGAGCACTGCAGGCAGAAGGTGCAGACCCCCGCTCTCTCACCCACGTGAGCAGGGGCTGGTAATCGTGGCTGAGCGTGGACAGTCTAAGCCCTGGCGTCCAGGGTGCTGCAGGGGATCATACATCCGCCTCCAGGTCTCACTGTGCCTTCTAGGCAGACGCAGACTCGCCATGTGCCATCGCTGCCCCTCATCGGTTGAACAGAGCCAGCGTGATGCTCTCCTGTCTTTAATCCACAGGACATCCACAGTCCTCACTGGTGTCACAGTTATTTTTGTGACAGTGCCACCACCTTGTTCTTATGCCACACAGTTGGGCACTTAAGCCATTGGGGTTCCTTCCCCCTGGTCTGGGCCTGGAGGTCTGACACCAAGATGCCCCCGTGGTCAGGCTCGGCTGAGGCCTCAGCTCCTGGCTCACACACGGTCCATCTCTCGGTCACCTCGCATGGTGAAGACGCAGCAGAGGCCCATCCTCGTGATCTCACCTGAACCTACTCACCCCCAAAGACCTCATCTCCAAACACCTCACACTAAGGTGAGGCTTTGGCCACACATTTGGGGGTGCAGAACTCAGTCCCTATCGTGTTTCCCATAAGAACCATTTGATGTGAGCTCAACATTTAAGGTCAACTCCAGAGGACCAGGTGAGGTCAGTGGAGCCTGCACAGGGATGGGTGTGGTCTGGAGCAGCAGGTGTGTGCCCTGCAGAGGGGACGGGAACGTGAACACAGCAGTGTCACTGTGAAAGTGGGACTGGCAATGGCCCGCGGGATCCACATGCCACCAACCCACTGTGCACACCTGAGAATTCAGGACCACGGGCGAGGGAGCCCTCAGTGGGGAATCGGAAGACGGGACCAGCATCATTTCCAAACTCAGAGCAGACTCAACCCAAGGAGGGGG